GCATTTTTCTGCTACTGGGTTCTTAGGACAACATCTCTGAACAGCTCAAGGTGCCACAGACACAAACAAGTCCTTTGTGGATTGCTCAATTGCATCTAAATGTCTGAGAATTACCCTTGTGGCCTGTACTCTAGACTCAGATTCTTTATCTGCATTGCCATCACCACAGAAAGCAGAGAAAATGTACCTTAAAACTTACTAAGGAAGGATTCCATGGCCACTATGGGATGGCCACCACTTCATGATGGGATGCTTTGATGAACCATCAAAGCAATCTGACTGAATGTCTGCATTTAAAAGTCCACTGCATGTGTTTTATCCCGCTACCTTAACTGTGGCAATGTTCTTCTGCTTGTTTTTCTTCACAGCTCTTGTTTTTATTGGTGTCTACTAACTGAACACTTTCTGTCACAGAAAGGGAAATGGGTCACCATTGCCAGAACACTGTTCAAGTCTCTGCAAGATGTTTTGGCTAGTTCTAATTACAGAAGGAGAGCTGGGATCTGTGTGCTGAAGGCATTTGGGTCTCTTGGAGACTTTTGTTTAATAATTGTGCCTAGTGGCAGGATTTTTCTTAAAACATACAGAGGCCTCTTTTCTCACTAAATAAAACATATGTTTTCTTCATCTTGACTGAAAAGGATATTTCTCTTACTCAAATTGTCAGTGGAAATTATGAATCATGAGCCACTATTCAACATGGGTGGCTGTTTTCTTTAGTATGTCTGTATTTTCCAGTCAAGAGCATGCTTTTTTCTTTTATCTTGAAACAGAAAGATTACCAACCCAGTTAGCAGGAAGAAAAAACAGGGCCGGATTCATCTGGGTTGGATTCGTAATGCAGATGAAGCTTCCTTTAGCTTTTGAAGCTGGTGCAGTAGGAAATGCTTTATACCACTTTGCCTTGACAGTGTGAAAAAGAAAGAAAGAAATGCAGAAAAGATGCTCAGCAGTATCTCTTGCATTGCTTTGATGTAGCTCCTTGGCCAGGCCAGACTACTGCGGACCACTGAGGGTGCCTGTCTGGCTGACAGCACATCCCTGTCAGGGGCTGAGCAGCTCCTTCACATACGGAAAACTGGGAACAGTGTCCACATCAGAGCCTCATACAGATGAAGCCCCAAGCCAAGGATATTTTGCCGAATAAATATATTGTGCTTGCAAGAGATCCTTATTCACTGGCTGCATGTTTTATTCATAAAAAAACACACAGCTTTTTGAATAAAAGCATGGCTCTTTTTAGAAGCAAAGTACTTTTTGCTCTTTTTGCTCTGGAAGTGTGCCTTAAAGATTGCTTATTGTAGCCTACAGAAGGTCTGTATGTCATAGAAGTTGCTGTCTGGTTAAGGTTTTGTCAATCAACTGGGTAGATGTCAGGTATTTTTCTGGAAGCTACCTGTCCCCACAGGCAGTGTTTGCCAACTTCTATTGCAAACGGGGTTGTGTCATGGTCAGCTCCCCAAATAGTAAATCCTTTATTTTTGTTTTTCTTCCTTACACTCCTGAGACCCATGCATCCCTCTAACACAACCTTGACTATGTCTTTAACTTCTCTTTCATGACCACAGTATAAGCAAGGAGGGCCTTCTTATTTAGTCAGGGCCTTTAACTTCTTCCCCTGAGTTCCCCCTTTCTACACAAGTAAGCCTTTGTAAAGTCCTGCTGCTGTCAGCCAATGTCCTGGAGCACTACCCTGCTGCAGGAAGGAAGTCCTGGTTGGGCTTCTGAAGCACAGGAATTGAGAAGAGCCAGGGCATGAAATGAAGTAGATTTCCATGGAGCTGTGGCTGTGACTGAACAGCAGAAACAGCCAGGAGGAGGGACAGAAATGCAAGCATTGGTCTGGCTTTCAGGAATGTAGGTAGCAAGAGTTTTGACTGAATAGACAAAAACAAATACCTTATATTTTGTGGAGGAAGGTAGCCAGCTAAAGGACTGAGAATACCAGTTTTGAACTTCTTCCTCTACTATTTGGCCTCAGGAACTTTAAAAGCCTCTCATACTCCATAGATGATGGAGTAATCCATATCCAAGCCACCCTTGGAAGGCAATATGCTCCCTCCTGCTCTCATCAGCTGGAGCTAATGTAATTTCCACTTTTCTCAGTGTTTCAGGGATTTTTCCAGAAGAACCTTAGAGCAGCAAATGAGCCTGCCTTCATCAGGTGGAAAGGGAATTCCCCCTTGCAAGTCTTTGCATGATCCAGATGTTAAATCCTGGCCTCAATTTTGAGAGATGGCAATACAATATGTAAGCTGCAGCAAAACTTGCTGCTGCAGTGCATTGAGACAGGGGATGAAATATCATTGGTGATGGATTTGCCAACAGTGTACTAAAAACTGTGAGGAGAGTTGCAGGATTTAATATGTGGAGGATGTTCGATATTTCAAAGTTGTTAATGTTTGCAGTTTTTAAAAATTATTATGCTTGATGTGTGCAGCAGCTAAATCTTTCTTGTTGATAATCAGAGATGATTTATCTCTTTGTAAAAATTGATCTCAAGCCATACAAGATCTTATTACTCCCAAGAGGAATTAAATAGCTCAGGCATACTCATTTAGATGAATTTCACCCCCTGACCTCTTATTCAGATCCCCATACCTGTCCAGTTCATTTTGCCAGAAAAGCTGTTTAATCCTTCCTATTTCATCCTCTCCTCCAAGGAACCCTATTCACTGAATTGCACTCCTAATCACAGAACAGAAATACAAACTTTCTTCTCTCAAGGAAATGGGAGATTTTTATCTCAGTGGTTAGACTGCTGTAACCATGATGGAATGGACAACTTAAGTGTATATGGAGTGTCTCATTGCAGTTAAAGTCAAACAAAGGCAGAGACTAAGATCAACCTCTCCAGTAAATCTGTTACAGGCAGAAGTCCCTACTGACCACATGGATTTATTTTTAACTAAATATTTTCAAATACCTGTATTTTTTTTTCTGTATTTTTCTGCATGGCAACTTATAGATAGAAATATATAGGGAACTTTCCATATTATAAAGCACTTTATGAATAATGGTGTGTGATATCTTCAGTACCAATCCTCATTTTGATTCATTTGTTCACTTTACTCAAGTTTGGGAGCCTCTTTTCCCCAGCCTTAAATAAACTTCTTAAGGCCTGTAAGAAATATGATAGAATTTAGAACTCTTTGAACTCTGAAGTCAATGAAATACCTGTACTAAGGGAAAATGGTACTCTTCATGTCATTTTTTCCCCTATCCTATATATTAGATATGAAATTGCAGTTTTAAAGCTAATCATTAAACTCCAAGAGAATTCATACTTGGGTTCATAATTCAGCTTGGGAAGATCAACTTGCAAAACTCATATCAAGCTTTGCATTTCAAACCATCTCAAGATATGCAGATATTCAAACTATTATATATTTATCATTTATCCTTCCTCCAGAAATAGACTTTTCCCAAAACTGTGAGTTTCCAAAGAGAGATTTTTCTTTTTTAAATGATGACCTGTTAGAATATCAGGCTTTTTGTTTAGTTTTACTGACTGTTATTTTTTATTGTCTTTTATTTTAATCCTTTCTTGTCACACAGTCTCTATAGACTTAGTTCGTGTTATTTTTACATTGTTTTTTCTTTTTTTTTTTCTCATTCTGTCATCTTTTATCTTCTACCAGCTCCTTTTTATTTGGAGGTATTGGAAAATGGCAGAAAGAAATTGAAAAATGCTGCATAACGGATTAAAGGAAAGGAAGAATATATGGAACAATCTGAAAAAACTGTTTCACATGAAAATAATAGGAAATAAACACATGCAAACAGTGTCATTACCTCACTGCCTAGAAACAGATCCAAATTTTTGGTTTTCACTTTTTTTAGTATTTTTTTTCCTAAGTCCTTTTCCTGTTTCCCATTAAAATGCTGTACAGGGATAAATTGCCCGGCACGCTCTCCTCATTGTGCTGTGGATTTTACTGACATTAATTCTTTCACATGACATGCATGCATGCATGAACATTCTTATGGACACATATGGCATAAAAAAAAGTGTTTTATTGAGAATAAAAATACCTTGTTTCAAAAGGAAAGGAGTAATAGAACCTGAGACTTCCACAAACTTTGTTATAATGAATATAAATCATTTATCTCTCTAGTGCAGGATGTATGTATTTTGAACTGCTTTGTTCAGACTTCCATCCTTTGTTGTTTGTCCAGCAGCATCCCAAGGCAAACCTCAAGTTTTTCCTTCTTTCAGAAACTCTTCCTTTCTTGAATTTCCTTCTCAGTCTGGTGAAAGGTTCCAAGACTCTCCACTCTTACATAGGATCTTTTATCCAGTTCTTCTCAAAGGTAGTATGCGTTAGCTATTTTCAACAATAATTTTCAAACACAATAATTTCATCCATTTATTTTTTAAACCATGAAATCAATGTATTTATGTATGTACAGAGGCAAGCTTAGTTTTCTGGGGAGGTCAAGTAATTTGTCAAAGAATGGTGGGAAAAAATGTAATGTAACCCAATGTACCAGGGTTCTCCTCTCCATCTCTGCCTAGGAGCTGGTTAGTTGGTTATACAGCAGGGCTGTGTGATTGGCAGTCCCTGCCTCATTTGGTGCTCTACTCATTTTCATTTGCTTAATGTCACAGTTAGCAGCTAGCACCTTCCCTCTGCAATACTTCTGTGTTTCCAGGTGTTTGTTGAGGAAAGCCCTGTTCTTGATGTACCAGTTTATTTCCTTCTTGTCCCCATTTGCCCTATCAAATTTGAAACCAGCCTTCTGTTTGCCAGACAAGTAGGCTGTGTATTTCTCTCAGCAGTATCCTCTGACCAATATTTAGGGTTTTCTAATGTATTACAGGGAGGTTCAGAATCAATGTAGCGCTCTGGTTCCAGCAGCCCAAAGGTGTCTGGCAAGATACACAGGCTGGATTCACAGCTGGTCATTTATGGTCAGAGTTTTGATGGATTTCACATGGAGCATGAAGGATTGATCATTTCATTGTACTGAAGGCTCTGAGCAATTTGAGGGTAACCCCTGAACCCCCTGGGGAAGTTGTAAAGGTTTCATGTCAAACCACAAGAGGAAGACAATTGCAATGCAGAGTCCATGAATATACTGGCCAAAGGGACTGTGTTGTGTGTGTGCTGCAAGACACCAATAGGAGAGATAGTGCCTCCGACTTTAAGGACAGATCTTGTAAGATTTGAACTCACCTAAGGAGCAATTGCAGTCTTACAATATATATATCTTGTAATATATTCATCTATTAGTAAAAGTATTCAGAATTTAGTTAAATAAGAGGAGCCCCAAGGTGTGAATGGCAAAGTTGTATTGATAGCACAAATACGAAAAATGTAGATGTGCATAACTGAGGCAATGTGTCACAGCGAAGTCCCTGCTGTACTCCCTCAAGTTTTGTACCCCTGCTAAACTAACCCTAACAAAAGGGCATGTGTGGTACCACGAGGCTTGGCTTTGGAGGTAGTCCTTTTTTTTTTGTCCCCAGTGGAAAGTTTATCATAAAGGAGACTAGAAAATAAAATTTCTCTCTGTAGCTGCACTACAGGAATCTTACATTTTCTTCAACTGAAAGCTGACATCTTTAACACATTATTATCATTTCCTGTCCCAATCAGTGGATCAGTCAGGGTGTCAGTTCACAAACAAGGCTAGAGAAAAACACAGTTCAGAACAGTGGGTGTCACATGACTGAGCACAGGGCCATCATGAGAGCTCAGGTAGGTTGGGAAAGGTGGGGAAATGCTGACTTTCCATTGTCCAAGTTCAAGTAGCTGGAAAACTCAGCTTCCAAAATTTCCATGCCACAAGCAACTTACACCTAGAGTAGAAATGGAGAATCAGTTATGTGCAGCACCCATATGTCGGAATAAGTTCAAATTCTGCTTCTGTTCTGTATCCAAAACCACTTCTGTAGTAGCTTCTGTAGGGCTTAAAAGGAAGTTCCTCATTCTCTGCAGAATATTTGCTCTTAGCCAGTAACACTCATAAATCTACTAAATCACTTCCCCACAGAGGTTTTGGGTACCATGCATCATCTCAGGAGTCTGAACTGAACAGTTTAGCATCTCTTTCTCATGCGTAAGATCATTACTTTGCACAGACGTGAAACAGTGGCATTTCTAGGAACCATTCCACTGTTATGATTCAAAAGGTTTCCAGAGATTTTGGTTTTACTTTTGTCTTCCTGCATCGTGGCAGCATGAACTCTGTGAACAAGCTATGGTAACAATCCTGCCCAGTCACCCATCCACCCAGAATCACTGGCAGATGCAGCAAGCAGTTCTTCCCTCCCAGAGAAAGCCTTGCAACAGACACAAGCAGAGGTACAACTGGGCTTAACACAACCTCAGATTCTTGGTTTTTTAGCTGCATTCACTGCTGCCATGGGCATGTATTCACTGTTGTACTCATGGGAGTTGGATTCACACGTCTGATTCTGCCAACAGAGAGAAAATGACATGAATTTAATTTGTGGTCACTTACCTTTGCCATTCCTGCCTTTGTTCGTTAAGTAGGGCAGTTACTCTATTTTCAGTGGGAACATTACCGTCAGAATAGATATGTCAAACTCACACAGAAAACTTGGAATAAAACAAAATTAAAATTAAAAACACACATTACCCAAAAGAATAGCTAATGTCCTTGGTCTTCTTTCCTGAGTCAAATTTAAGTGGTTTTGCAGCAGAATAGTGCTGGAATTGCTCCACTGATAATTGTTTCCCATTCTTAAAGAAAACAATCAGGCAAACTGCTTACCAAAGTAATTTTGCTGACCTGTGCAGCATTTGTCCTCTTTCCTTTGGTTCCAAGTCTTTAAATCAATAAACAATTCTGTCTTAGAAAAATTTAATCTGAGCCATTGTCATCAATGACTTGAATTCCAGTGGTAAATTAACAACTCAATCTTTTTGTAAAAAAACAGCACATGCTGAGTATTTGCCTGTCCCAATCTCTAAATCTCATTAAATTAAGTTCCCTATCCATGACCTTTGGAAGAAGGGTTCTGTATAATCTCATGTATTTGCTTACCTTGTTCCTTAAGCAACAGGCCACAACACAGCAGACACAGGAAATGGCAAAAATTATCAAACTGATAATTATCCATGACATGAGTCCAAGTGAAAGGCAGTCCTCCTTATCTGAAGAGGAGGAGGCAAAAAAAAAAAGTCATTACTGATAGTTTTCAATTTTGCCTTCCACAGATAACTTCAGGTTTTTTCCCCCTTCATATTAATAAACTAGCAAAAGTGAACACTGAAGAAGGATTTTGCTGAGGTGAATTGCCACCCTGGAAAAGTGTATTCAGTAGGTAGCAGAAAATGACATTTTTTCCAGAAAGAGAGGGGAACTGTTGGTACACAGCACTGAAAGTGTAGACTGAAAAGAAGCCAAGCCAGAGAGCACACTGAGAAAGAAAAGAAAAAAAGAAAGCTTTCAACCTCCAACGTGGTGTTCAGATCTGAACAAGGTTTAAGATTATACGTAAGTACCACAGGTGATTAAAGGGCAGACTGGTCAAAAGAAGGGTAGACTTTGGCAGTCATGTTTGGGTAGAAAGGCAAGCTGAGGTACTCAAGATTACCCTTGCCCAGATCTGGGAGAAAATATGACAGGGTGTGAAACATTTAGAAAAAGCTCTGAGCACCTGGCTATCCATACAAGTGGAGGTGGACCCTGCATACAAAACCAAATGTCACAGCTTGATTCTGAGGAGCTTTTTAAATACAGAGAGGATTGAGAGACAACTTGATTCAACCACATAATTGCTGTAGCATTTTAACTTCTATCTTTGTTTATTCCTGGTGCTGGGAGAGGAAAAGAAAGCAAGGGAAGGACAACAGGCAGTACCATGTTGCAGCTGAACTGTATGCAGAAGCAAGAACTGGTGTGAGCAAAACCACCATAAACTCTTTCAGTTTAGTATACTAAAGAGATACCTAATGAAAGCCAGGTCAAAATTAAAGCCTGGGCAGTTAATCTTCTGGAGTTAGTCCAAACCCTTCTCAGTAAACTGCCAAAAATTCTCAAAAGCTGTGGATTTCTTCTGCTCTAAGAAGGCCCTAAAGCTGAAGGTCTGTTTCACAGAGGCGAACACCATCTTCTTCACCTCTCAATGGCATCCAAGAGTTCCATATACCACTACTAGTATGGGTATTTGACAATCAATTTTCTTTAATTCTAGGCTTTTGAAGATAGCTCTCAGAATTACTTTTTTCCCACAGGCTAGACCTAATCTTAACATTTATACTCAGCAACTTTAAAAATGGACAAGAGGAATTGCTGTTGTAGGCAAAGGAGAGACCGTAGTACTCTAGAAGCTGCAGTCAAGCTAACTTGGGTTCCACCACCACTACGCAAAGCTCAGCACGACCTGCAAAACCTGCCCAAGAAGATGAATAAATATGGAGAGGACATGCTGAGCAGTGTGCCAACACAGCTCCACTGTTACCAGCCCCCTGCTAAGTAGTTCTAAGCTGCCTGGTAATTAGCTGTGCAAGCTCTAGTCATATTTTTCACTGCAGTATAGCTATGCCCAATGTCTACTTATCAGTAAATTGAAGTGAGGGGAGAAGAGAACTAAACTTACCTTGGACGTACAAATAGGTCTCTTTCAGACAGCAATCTATGTAAGGAGGGGGTAAGAATATCTCCAGGCAGTAGGTATAAAAGTCATTATGTTTTCTTTCCAGATTTTTAAGAATGAAAATGGTGCTGCTATTTGAATTCTGTGTCTGACAGTAGGTGACATTACTCTTGGGGATAACACTCTCTTTGCTCAAATGGAGTGCACAGATTTCCTTCTTCTCACGCCCTTTGAAGAGGGTCATGCTGAACTCACTCACATTTTTGGGGTTGGGGAATGTGAATTTGAAGTTTCCATTTTCAAATTCCACCATGGCCTGGGCATCAGAGAGGTGGGGCTGATCTGAAGACATGAAAACAATAAGTATAGTCACATACGTAGCTGTGAAAAGAATCTTAAAGTGCTAAGAACCTCATTTAAACAAAACAAATGAACCATGTGATTGTAATCTGAGGCATGTAGGTAGCCAGAACAGTTTGGCTGTGAAAAGCAGCCCTCACAATGAGATACCATTGCATTATTCTGGTTGTGCCAAACATTACTGATAAAATAAATGAGACCTGGCCTGTTATCTGCTCTAAGGCTGTAGAGATTACTGTTAGCATTAGATCAGTGACCTTGAAAATATTACTTGCTACTAAGGCTACTAAATGGTAAAGTTACTAATATTACTTACAATATCAATTGCTAGATATTGTTTAAAGTCCCCCTGGACCAAACATTGTATAGACATATAATCCCTGCCTCAGTGTCAGATTGTCCTATTCATAAATAAAACAAGTGAGACAAAGATGATAATGATGACAATTATCTCTGGTTTATGGTTTGCAATATGCACCCTACCGAACATGCAATTATAAAATAATTTAGATTAGAAAATATCATTAAGATCATCATGTATAAGCATTGGCCCAGCATTGCCAAGTCCACCACTAAACCATGTCCCTCAGTGCCACACCAATGTGTCTTTTAAATCCCTCCAGGGCTGGTGACTCTACCACTTCTCTGGGCAGCCTGTTCCAATGCTTAACTGCTCTTTCAGTGAAGACATTTTTCTTAATATCCAGTCTAAATCTCTTCTCATGCAAATTGAGGCCATTTCCTCTTGTCTTGTCACTTCTTACTTAGGAGAAGAGACTGGACTCTACCTTGCTGCAGCCTCCTTTCAGGCAGGTATAGAAAATGGCAAGTTCTCCCCTGAGCCTCCTTTTTTTCACGCTTTTTTCACCACCAGCTCCCTCAGCCACTCCTTTCATCAGTTCTGTTGCCTCCTCTGGACCCACTTGGACACTTCAGTGTCTTTCACATAGTGAGGGGCCCAAAACTGGACATAGGATTCGAGGTGTGGCCTCACCATTGCCAAGTACAGGGTGATGGTCATTGCCCTGATCTTCCTGGCCACACAGTAATTGATACAGGCCAGGATGCCACTGGCTTTCTTGGCCACCTGGACACACACTGGTCTGTGTTCAGCCAGCTGCTGACCAGCACTGTCAGGACCTTTACCAGGCAGCTTTCCAGACACTCTTTCCCCAGCTTGTAGGGCTGCCTGAGTTGTTGTGAGCCAAGTGCAGGACTTGGCACTTGGACTTGTTGAACCTCATACAACTGATCTCAACCCATTGATCCAGTCTGTCCAGAACCTTCCTATACTCCCACCTAACACTTCCACCTAACTTGCTGTTGTCTGCAAATTTATTGAAGATGCAAGTGGGGAACTGCACTTGTAAGCAGCCACCAGCAGGATGTAACTGTATTCACCATCACTCTCTGGGCCAGGTCACCCAGTAAGTTTGATGATGTCGCTGAAAATTTAAAATGGGATGTGAACGCCAAGCTCCTACGTGACTGCCTTAACCACAGGACTTCACTTATCTTTGTGGGATAGAAAACGATTTGAGACACGATATTGTTTCAACCTAATTACATAGATGGTTATAGCACCATTATTGCTCAGATAATGGAAGGTGTAGAGGACAAATGTTACCATGTGCATGCACCCACATGCAATCCAGAAATCACATTTGTCCCTCCCAAAATCTCTACAAAAATATTTCAGATGTTGTGTGACTCTCATTTTGCAAACTTCTTGGAGAAGCAAAGAAAGTGAACTCACTGAAGACGTCTGCTGTCTCACAGTTTGGCTTTGTAAAGTCAGCAACCAATTGCACAGAAAACTCCCTCAGACAAAAATATGTTAAAATGTGCAGTAAAAAATGACCATTTTTTTCTTTAAGGACAGTATTTTCTGATGTATAAAGGCATCTAAAACCAAAAAACAAATTAGGTAAATGCATCTTACCTAAATTTTTGCATGCACATGAGTAGCTGTCAATTCCTGAAAAATACAAAATTGTTTTCTGTTTAAAATTCAAGAAGAGTGACACAGGAACAGGGGATTAACTATGCAGTGTTAAGATGCTGAAGCTATTTTATAATTTGTATCATCCTATCTGATCCTTTCTGTGCTACGCTTTAAAGTCATATGATATGATAAAATAATTAAATATAAATATCAAAGTAGAAAGAAAATGCCCAAGGCAGAATTTATATTGATCATATATATAGCGTTCACAAATTCTTAAGACACCTTTACAAAGTAATACGTGTGATTCAGAAATATAACTGACATGAAAGTAACTTTCACCAAGATACTGAGGAAATCTGCCTGAAATAAAAAAGCATATTTCTGATTTCTCATGAATCCTGATTTTGCAATGAGCCAGCATTATATTTTTCCCAGTCCAAAGTACTCATTTCCATCAATGTTTGTTCTGCTTTCCCCACTGCGTGACATAGGCCTGAAACATCTTTCATAATTATATGGATGATGTTCCAATATATACATCAAGAAAGCATTCGAGTAAAGCATATGATTTTGTTCCTTTTCCAATAGCAAATTTTTCTCTTATTGTTCATAGGTGATCTTCATTATAGAGCACAGACACACTTTTAATAATTGTTCTGCTTTTTTTTTATAAACCACTCCCTTTATCACCATACACTATGGCAACACTTTGGAACAGTTTGTATGTTAGTACTGGCATCATAGCACAGTCTGATAGTGTTTCATTTGGGATTTTTCTTTTTGCATAGCCCTAAAATTAAATGTTCAGATAGGTAAACAGATAAACAGAAAAATATTCTATCTGCTGTTCCTGTTTTCTGGTAGCCTGAGTAAGTTCTTCAGATGCTGCTTAGAATTAAATATATCTACATTAGGATTTTATGATGCTAAGGAAATACAGGGCAAATACTTAAAGACTTTGAAGTACTATCCTATTCTTGTTAGAGCTACATAGTAGTCTAGATACATCCACACAGAGTACATGCCCTGCACCTCTGTGATTGCAGAGTATAAATAATAATTTTTTCCCCAAGGCACTTGTTACTTTTGACATCTGGCCTGTAAATGCACAGGAACATAGGATCATTCTCTTTTGGATGCCTTTGTAGGATCTCAACTCTTTCAGTCTTTCAGTGTTCATGCTTTTTTTCCTTTTTTGAGTTTTTGCTCCCCAGTTACAGCCATTGGCAGGGCATTGAAATGAATGATACTTATTTAAGATATATTTAGTGTGACACAGAAGCTAATGAACTTCTGGAAGACATTTTGTGATGCTCAGTTAGAGAGCAATAGAAGCTATTATACCTTCTTGACTGATTTACCATTTCCCTAGTTATCAAATTCTTCCTGGTTTACTGTGCACAGTCATCACCCTTATCTAATTCAGTGACAGTTCTAATATCTGTACTTCTCTCAGGACTATTACTTAAGTGTATGATAACAGACAAGGTATTTAACGTCTTGTACCACTCGTGTGAAGATAAGGCAGAGAAAACACACATCTTGCCAAGCCACAATTAAATAGAGCTCTAGAACCACTGAAGGCACAGACAGAAAGTGCAAGCCCTTAAAATATTATACAGTCCAAAAAGATGAAAGAAAAGGTCAAATAAAGAAATAATTCTTGATAACTTATATGCTGCATGATGAAAAGAAACAGTTGCTATGAGACTAGCATTTGAGATAAAGGTCATTTAAAATGCTCTGTAGTTTGACATCCTGTAGTTTGGTAACACATACCTCTAAAATTAGGCCACACACCCAACAAATTATTTAGGGAAGGGAAGAAAAAAACCAAATGTACAACAGAAGCTAGGGAGCATGATGAATGCATAAACTTATCCGATACTTTTGAGAAGCATCTACCTGGAGTTGAAACCTCTACATTTGTCACTGGTCATCTGAGAGGAAAGGCAGATGCTGACTCTGTCAGGGCAGCCACAGAGCCAAGTGGTGCCATATTCCTTCTGTGTCCCAGAGGAGCATGGGACAAGCCTACTCTGAGCGCTAAATGAACAACTTCAGATTTGTTTTCTCTGTTTGTCTCTGAGAATAGTTCGATTTTGCTGTTAGCTAATGAAATTGCCCTTTCATACCATGTGGGTTAATATGTTTGTCAGAGATCATGGTTTTAATCCTTATTTTTAATGGAAAAGGGCAGAGAGAGGTCATTAAGCACTTAGTTCATGTGACCTTGTGGCAAACTGAAAGATCGTTTTGTATTCTCTCCAACCCAGAAGCCTAAAATGTCTGTTTTCAAGGAAGACTCAGTGATATATTTCTCTGAATGAGCGTTTTGGTAAATGTGATGCTGTTAGTAATTCCTCTGAAACAAGTGCCCATATAGAAGAGTGTGCTTAGCATGGGATAGAGGTGGCGCATTTTAGAATTAGATCAACAGTACCTGAGATTAAAACACAAAATTGCCAACACGGATTGACCACAATGGGTGAGAACTGATATAAATTTCCTCATATAAAAACTCACTAGCTATTCTGCATCAGCTCCTAATGTGAATGCACTTGCTGAATACTAAAAAGTTATTCATTCCTCTTGCTGATCTTCTGTGCCCATTTGTACCCATTCATTCCTAGGTAATCATATGGACCTGTATGTTAATGGTCAGACACGTTTAGGATGTTTCTAGCCAAGCTCCAGTCAGAATGAATGCACATTTAGTAGGATGTGAGATAGGAAACTGGGATTTAAAAATCCAATAGTATTGAAAGATTCACTGACTAATTCTCCCTAATCTACCTCAGAAATATGTGAATAAAAGTCTACATTGTAGTATTGCTGAAATGGAACAGAAGAATTTCACTGGTTCAGCAATAAAAATGCTTAGATACGGCTGTTAGATTCCTTTTTCTTATTTTTCATAAAAGAGATAATTAAATTGCATATTTTGCAATGTTCAGTTACAAAATGATATTCAATTACAATTTGGTTTGAGACACGAGGAAACAAATCTAGTTTGTTTCCTTGCAGTGTCACAATGTGGAGTTGAGAGGAGTTGTTTCTGGCTCACCTGATGTGAAGCAGAGTACCAACACAAATATTGTGGTTTAGATATAAATCTAAGAGATTACCATGTGTATGAAAGTTACATCTTGTTATGTTAAATTCTGAAGGAGAGCATGTGTGTACATTTGTGTATAACTGTATTTACAGTCATGTACTTTTCCATCTCAATTTTGTCTTTAGTGCAGCAGGAAAGCCTTTTGGCAGAAGTTTGGGAATTTCTGTGGTAGTGTGCTTGGATACTGAGGCCAATGGAAAGTGTGTTGTTTTCATATTAATGGGATTGCAATTTTGAGCTTTCTCATTGCTCTTTGACAGACCCAGCACTATTTGAAAACATCACCGATCCATTACGCATTTTGGTCCTAACAGAAGTTTAAAAACCACTTTCAATCACTTTTCAAGCTTAGTTTAGGGTAGAATAAAATACTGTTACTTTGTTCTCTTGCTGTTTATATTATCTTCCCCAGCTCTCAGAAAACTAAGCTGATAAAAGGAAGCATAATTTCACTTTTGTGTGTTTGCTTCTGAAGATGAGCAAGGAAATTGAAGACCCCACATTTAAAACAAACACATTTGCTTGTTAATACTAAATGCATAATGAAACTAAACACAGTTTTTAAGTTTCTATAGTTTCAGACTTTCAAGGCACTCTGAAAGATGACACTGTCAATTTGGTGTCATTAGTCATAGGCCTAAAACTAATATGTTTCTATCTATCAAGAATCCAGGATTAAGTGAGGAAGGAGTGCTTGAGGACAAAGTAGTAATGGCCAGATTTATTCTAGGAAGCCATCTTTAATCTGAATTATTTCTATGGTGTAATTTATGTTGAGAAATCCTGAAATTTGTATAAAATATACCACAGAAAGAACAGACAGTGTTGATAATATTTCAGAAGCCCTTATAAGAAATTACCATGGTTTCCTCCTGTACTGACAACAGGAGATCTGTGGGTGAAGAGTGATAACACTTTGCAAATGTTGATGTGTAAAAGCTTCTTAGCAAGGACCTCAAGTGCTATGGAATCCTATCTACAGCTCTGTACTCCAAAATCCCATTGCCTGTGTTTCTCTGCAGGCAACAGAGAGGCTCTCTGCTCTTATGAACAATTTCTTTGTCACAATTGGGTTGTCAAATCATAATGCACACATATATACACATGTACATATATATATCACCTCCTGTGACCTATTTACATCCAGAGAAGTCACAAGTTATGCTGAAAACACTGTAAGACAAAAAACATGAGAGATACCATTTCTTCTTACACAGTCTCTTTGTCTTGTCATCTCCTTTCCCCAGTCCCCTGCCCAAATCCTATCCTCCATATTTGAAGGAAGGGAGAAAGAAGGGAGAAATGATGGTATCAGACAGGATATAACAATTTGCACCCTTAAAATTACAGTTTATTTCTTCACATGAGGAAAGGCTTTCTAGATAGCTTCAGTCATCTGTAAAAGCATGATGGTCAGGTATTTGTTCTAAATTTTTTCTAAATTAGGGGAGAAATAACCAAGGTGAAAGAATTTTTTGTTAGTAGACTTCAGAACAACTTTCCAAGGAGAACTCCCTTAAGAGATACTGATTACAATTACTCTTTCTTGGAATCTTTTCATTCTATCTGAAAACTCAGCACACTATCCATATATTAGTTAGCCTTCAAAAATGTATCTGCATTACCTAAAGAGCTGAAAACTAGGTGTTTTTGGTTTTTTTTTTATGAAAGCTGAAGTTCTTCCTGAAACTTCAGGAATAATTAAATTCTATCCCTTTTCACTAGAATTTCAGAAACAAATATTTAATAGTCCTTGGAATGACCATCAAAGGATCATATTTAGATGGTGTTTCATAACTGTGCACACTAAATCTCAGATCTTACTTATATGATGCATCATACCAAATCCTTGGACATTATATGTATGGAAAAAAATACTCTTCTTAATCTGTTATTACTTGTAGTTCCATGCTGACCCATTAATATGCGGGTTTCAGAGAGGTTACAGATAAAGCTGTGATATTTTACTTTGTACAGCTGAGATAAAACACTGAATCTTGTTAATTGCTACATCCATATTTAAGGCTGGACTGAGACTGGTGCTGTCACTGTGCACCTTCTCAAACACAGCACAGGAATTCCATGCTTCCTTTTAAGTCTGTGTTTCAAGCCTGCACCAAAATAGTCTCATTTTATGATTATATTATGATTGTATTATGAGATAATCTCCATGTCACGTGCATTTTTTATTGTATAAAAATTCCCTTCCCAAACAAGAGCAGGTTTAATATTGACAACCTGGTTTCTCTTTATTATTCACCATCATGCTGCTATGAGATCTTATATCTGTCAAGGGAAGCTGGCTGGAGCACTACAATCTAAACAGCTAAAGGATAACACTGAGCAGATGAGCTAAAGAACACAAACAATGAAAACTTGTACGTTTTAGTTTCAGAGCAAACGTCCTATGCTGGCAGAAATTCTCTTCCCACCAACGCCAGTGATACTAAAGTTGAGAGCAGTCTTTTTGCAGCCATTACAATCCATTACCTTTATTCCTCCAGCTTTTTGCTATCATGCCTCGTTTACTGTCTCCCATCATTAGCTAAGTTATATTCTATAGAGACACCTACTGCAAGGAGAATAATCCAAAATGTTACTCACCATATAGGGCTTCAAACTGAAAGCAGAAGACACAGAAAGTTACAGCAACTGCCTTCATGCCTGCCTGACACAGAGACATCAGCCTTCTGTCTACTGTGAGGATGGGGAAACACACATGGGTAGAAAAGGAAGTGGTTTGTGGGCTCTGGGGAAAATTGTAAGATAATCAGAATGACTTTTTAATTTAACATTTGTCTCCTGACTACATTATAGCTATGTCAGCATTAGCTGTTGCACATACCTGGTTTAATGTTTTATTTTTTTTTTCCTACCTAATGGTTTGCTGTCACAGACAGGAGGATGAAAGACTTTCTGACATTACTTTTAATGTTCACTTTGCACAGACTGTTTCTGGTAAAGTCTATCACAATATAGGCTGCAGTCATCTACAGTAGATTTCTGCAGATAGCCCATGGTGAGCAATCAGTATTGCCTTACAGTACATGCCACATTTGTATCTGGCAACCTGGTTTTCCCCCACTAATTTCAACGGTTTTACATAACTAATGGTCTTGTTCTATGTGTAAACCATTTGTTAATGGGATAGGAGTCTCTCGTGTGTCCTGGTCCTGAAATTCATGGGAAGAACATGGCCAGATTTCAGAAAGATCTCTTCAACTCTGTGACTTCTAAACAGTTAATCCCAGTGTGACTTCTGTCCTGGAGATCAGGCTTGTTTTGCCTGAACTTTCATGAGAAATTTCATGTGGCTGTGAGGGGAGATCTGACTCAGTGCCCTAGGGCCTTAGGTCAAAAGGTTCTCTCCTTCCCTCTTCCTTGCCTTTGTGCAGCACACTCTATCCTTGCCTGTTCTCCATCTTTATCCCGGGAATGTTTTAGGACCCTTTGTAACATGTTCTACAATCATTTAATCCTGGCTGCTTATTTATGTCTATAATACTAATTTTAGTGCAGAAAATATGCAAGAACACTAGCTTCTAAATAATGTTTAAGATATTAGATGAAGTTTGCATTTCTGATTGCACAAAGAGAAAACACAAAGGACTGCCAGTGGTGCCTGACAGACACTGCTGGGGTTGAGTCCTTGTAATGGTCAAATAATTGGAAAATAACAGGACTGTGCTACAGATTCATTCCTACTTTGTACTGTGTAAGTAAATCCTCACATGCTGGTTTACTCTTTTTCAAAAAGTGATTTAATGTCTTTCACCACTACTGTTCAAGATCTGTTCACATGGACATTGGCAGAGTTTTACTTTCTTCAAATTTTTCCAAAGCCCTGCAAATCTGTTTTTTTTAAAGTTACAGTGGGAACTAAACCTGAGTCAAATTAGGCATTATCTAAATTTTCAGTTCAAGTCTCTGGGGCCAAAATCAACTCTAAGTAGAGAAAGTTTCTGCAGTATGCTTTTAACTCTAAAGCCCAAAAGTATATCAAGGTTCAAAGAACGATACACGTTCAAAATATACATCTGACTCCTGAGATTTGCCTATGAAGTTATAAACTATGTTGGGAACTACTGAGGTTCCAGGTAGGATCATCTTTTCCATCCCCCATAAAAACTAATGGGAAGTGCTGAGAGGACAGAGCAACCCTCTCCTGGGACATGACCTTTACTGTCCCCGAAATAAACTTAAGAGTGGCCCCTGGGAAAAGCCTATAGTAAAAAGAGCTGCTGCTGCTGCAGAGAATTAAGGGTGGAAGAGAATCATGTGTCAAGTACCCCTATGCACATCTTTGGGAGACCATGGTGACAACACACACAAAATTATCACTAACTGGGAAGACCAATAAATGTGTAGGGGAATGTACTCCATGTGCAAAGTTTTGGCTACTTTTTTATGAAAACAAGCTTTAAAACAAATCAGTATTGTTAGGGTTCAAAAATCTGCTGCCTTTCTTAAAAATCTAAACATTTTGTTAGGAAAGTAATTTTGTTAGAAACAATTTTTTTAACCAATATAGTTTTTTGGAGCAACTTACTCCTTCCCTCCCTCCCTATGACCATATCACTTACACCAAGGCAGAGATGATTAGTACACATCTATTTCACTTTTGGGGAAGAATACCTACCGGCATAGCTTGGCTGGTACACATGTCATTAAAACAATTGAAGGAAGTCTCACTGTCCAGTTTGTATATGTCAAGTCCTCTCTCTTTTCTATAACTATAGTTTCAAGTCTACAATTACACCTTCTCCTTTTCTGCTTCTTGGCACTTGGGTGGCTAAAACACACTGACCCCTTTATTTCAAAAGGGTCAAGCCCAGAGAATACTTTGCAGCACATTTGGCAGCACTCTGACGTTTGATCTGAACAGTAATTCCAAGTGTATTTGATGATGAGCTGGCAGAGCCAGGGGCACTCACAGCGTACATTCACAAGCGAAGAGACACAAAGTCAAGCTCTGCACTCAGTGTGATGCTCTCCTTCTAGTCCCACACCAACAAACACCTCCTCTGCCTTTCAATCTTTCCATCTTTGCCTCGTTCCCCTATCAGTGCTTACCTACTTCACAAAGATATTGTTACTGCAATTTAGAAGTGTTTCTTCTAAATACCACAGTTGGTTACGGTTAAACACCTGGAACAAGTAGTCTGTTTCCACAGGCTTCCTACAACTGTAACTATTTTTGCTCACAAACACGTGTTTCCTTTTTCCATCCTCACTTATTTCTCTTCTCTGTGTCATAATTTTCATTCTCCTATCCACATACACCTCTCAGAGCTGACTTCTTTCCTCCTTCAACGTGAGTGTCCCCCAGTCCCTGAGCACCCTGCTCCTCAAGCAGTGGAATGCCTTCACCATGTGCAGAAACTCCTGTCTGGAATGGAGCTTTTTCTTCACCCCAAGCCCTATATCTTCATGTCCTACTCCCAAGGCTACCCTATAGTGAAAATCTCCTTTTCTTCCTGTCATCTTGTTTCTGACTGTTTGCAAACTGGAAAATCCTTATGTGAATTTTCCTGCCTTTAAAAATGCATTCAGTGATACACTGAGTTCCAAAGAGAGTTGGGCTTGCTCATCCCTTGGTCCATACACCAGCATTCTCTACTACACAGTCTTCAGTGCTTCTTCCTTCTAACTCTGAGTAACCTGGAAAACACTTCTGCTATTTCCCCAAGGACACAACAAAGAATTTCCCTGTGTGTATGATGTATATTTTTCTGTGCTCTGCGTAATCACATAATTACTGTTATCACTCAAAACAATGTTATGTAAGTGAAATGATACTGCATGGTCCACTGTGAAACCAAGGTCCAGTGAAGACCTTTTATTCTGTCCCACCAGCAGTTTTACACTTCTGCTCATGGATGAGCAGTTGCCCACAGCAATATTCTCTCCATAGAATGTTTTGCAATTCTTTCTGCAGAGACTGCTACAGTCTATCCACAGAAATTATATTCCATTGTCTCCTGCTGCTTCCCATTCTTCTCTTCAATATCTGGCCTATATTCTCATGACTCTGGGTCATTCCCTCAGGGCTGGAGCAGAAATCCTCTATACTAATGCGTTTTCATTTCCTGTCCTCCTAATTGAGAAGGGGAACAATGATTTTCACTGTGCTATTTTTAAAGTTCTGTGATAGCTTTAAATCCCACTTCCCATCTGCACCACTCCCCATTAGGTGTGTAAACAAGCTGCAGTCATTCAGGATGTAGAGATTTCAGCTGAAACGCAGCTCGTGTGCTCCCTCATTTGTTCTGATGCCTCCTCTGCTGATATATTGGTGTGGTCACTCCCCCGGGCTGTGGGCATGCTGTAATATTCTCTCCATCAACGTACCAGTAGAGGCAACTGGGGCTCAGCTCAGCCAGCTCAGCAGCAGGGCAAACACCTCCCTGCAGAGCAGATCCCCTTTAGGGACGTGACAGTCTCCTTTGGGGTGGGATTGTGAGTGGCTTTGTTTCTTGATACAAACTCATTTACCCCATTAATCACTTCTTTTTGGGTTTGTTTTGTTGTTTTGGGGTTTTTTTTCCGTTGGATGATTCTTGAGAATATTTGTCATCAAGTTTTCTAAAAGAAAAAAAAAACCCAGTATGTTAATGAGTTTAGCCCAGGTCTAAGGTTTGTAAAGGCACTGACCTATAAATTCAGGTGCTAAGTGGCAAATTCAGTCAAGTCTAATAAGGCTGCCCAGAGAGGCAGCAGATGCCCCCTCCCTGGAAAAACCCTGGCCTAGTTGAAGATGTCACCACTTATTGCTGGGAGACTGGACTAGATGGTGTTTAAAGGTCCCATCCAAGCCAAACTGTTCAATGATTCTAAATGCTTCTTCAGATCCTGGAACTACTATTTTGGGCTGGCTGACTCAAGGCAGCAGAGAGCCACCTAGGAAAAAACTGTCTCCATCTGATACTAGGAACTGCTATGCCTCTGTGTATCCAGCCCTGTCTCTCCTGTGACACAGTTACTTAAAAGAGGTACTGAACACTTCTTCAGGATGTGGGGTGTAGATAGATAGAAAGGGCGCAGTGATGCTCAAGTGCATGTACTGGTGGGGTGGACTGCAGACCTACAGGGTGGCTGGGGAAGGTTTACTGTCCTCAACTACAACCACAAAAGTAATGACCATGCTCCTGCCTTTCAAGGTGTACTAGGAAGAGGACTGTCAGCAGCAGATAGTTTTCACTGGCACATGCTGGAGTGTGCAGGAGGTATTTAGGAAAATACAAGGGCTGTAGATGGCCTGTGTTCAGGGGCAACGTTCCAGAAGGAGGAGTGTATCTTCTGAAGCCATTACAGCTCCCTGCGGCCGTCCTGCTACTGTGGGACTTTTTTACAGGGCCCCTTATATCTAGGTTTGGAAAGGAGGTCTTTCGGAACAGATGGCAAAAAAACGTAAAAAAAGTGAAGTGCAAACCTGGAGACCAAGGCTGTTACTGCCTGGCACTAGGGGGAGCAGTGCATGACAGCTATATGTGCATGTGCTGGGTGACCATGGAATTTATTCTAGGAGGGACAGTGACAAATTATACACATTTTGTAAAATTTTCATACCCCGGGTCTTTCAAAGCTTGCAGAAGGGTGGGGGCCCCTGTTATGTGGTTATCTGGTCAGCTGCCTTTGAAGAGTTAGGATGGAAAGAGACATATTCTGTGGTGATGCTTA